AAGTCAGTGACAACTGTATCTATGCGATTCATTAGAGATACAAATATGAAAACCAACATGAAATGACACCGTTCGACGCGCAGATAGTTTCTTTTTTCTCTACTCTCCTGCTCTCTCTCTCTCTGCACGAAAGAAAGAAAAAGATATGCACGCAATGTGGTTTTGCAGTACTGATTATGATCTTTGTTTGGTCAATTGGCTCGGGCATTGTGCATTGAGTCGCCCGGTTACAGCTCACTTTGGTTAAATGGAAATGTAGCGCATCTGAAATGGCCATTCGTTCCGTGCAATCGAACGACATCTATTAATATTAACACTGAATTCATTCTACTGCAGGCTCTCCGTAGAGCGGTTCACTGACTCTGTTTCATTTCGTCAGTGAGTTCATGTTTTTTTGGCAACCCATTCATATGCACGAAAAAAATAAGATCAAGGCACAGCATAATCACGATAAGAACAAAGGCGAAGAGAACAAAATAAATTCAAGGAAAATGAATATCAAAAAAAAGTAAAAAGTCAAATCGACAGTCGCGACGCCCAAGTGCAAGGTCAAACGCCACGTAGAAAATTCGTTTCCTTTTTGGCCATTCGTTCCCTTTCGCTATACGTCGGACGCGACACAACACGATGACGTTATTCCAAAATAATCCGATCGAAATGATGCGATATTAAAAATTCAATCGGATTTTTTTTTGCTGCCTCAGAATGGCATTGTTATTGGTTCTGGCTCACTGAACCAGATGCTATCGCACACATTTACTGTCTCATTTCATTTGCTTAATGGCCATTTGTGTTCGAAGCGAGTTCAACCCAAAAAATTTGGCAACGGACGGCACGTGACTTCTTCTTGCTTCTTTTTTTCGCCTTGATGTTTTTGCGCGTCGCGAGCGCGTCTGATCTCATTCAAATTGATTTAAGACAATATGCCATGATCATTTGCATTTTTTTCTCGTGTTCTGCTCTAAATTCCAGCGAAATTCATCGATAACAATTCCGTTGCTGTGAATGTAGTAGTTTACCGAAAAAGAGTCGAAGCGAAAAGAGTCATGCCATCGGGCTATTTGTTGTGTGAATTACGTGTGTGCGCTGCACAGTTTGGCATCCATTACATGGTCGCATAAATGTCGAGTTCATTCGTTAAGCACATTTTGTGCATGTAATTTATAGTGACAAATAGTCAATTCTCGATAATCAAAATACATGCGCGCGCTTGAATTTAGTCAATTTTCCGAATTTGGTGTGCAAAAGGCGAACAAGAGATCGGACCCAAACAACAAGGATATCTTATTTATGTTTATTGCTCACCATAATAAATACCCAATATCCACATGTGCGAATCGAGAGACCGAGAGTGAGAGAAAGAGAAAGAAAAGAACACATATCGCCGAATCGATTTTGAGCTGCCTGCGAAAATTAAACGCAATGCACATTTCTCTTTCAAGGTGAAGCGACATTAATTGAATTTCGTGAAGAACACCACCATGTTTGGGCATTATTCTGTATCGCCGTATGTTCTTTTCACGTTTCACATTTTGCGCGCTGCGACCGATCCGATTTCTGGCTCTGTGAAACATAAATTTCAAGTGTATTGCTTGTTTTTTGTTATCTTGTGAGCGATTCGAATTGCTTGTCTTTGTTGTTCGTGTTTTTATTTTAGTTTTGGTGAATGCATTTTATCTTCAATGCGATATTGGATTCATGGGCGTTCATGGAAAACCGCACACAGACCGCAAAGAAATATAAAGAAAACGAACAGCAAGAGATTTAAACAACGTGTAAACCAACACTTTTTTGCTTGAGCTTCATTCGATTTAACTCGTTCGAACATCACCAAAACCAATTGCGTTTTACATAATACGACATGCATTCTCGTCAACACGTCAAATAAAATAAAATGCAATGTTTTTTCCGCTTTCGGGATACGCGCGCGCAAAACGATCCCAGACACGCCAGCGATAAGATTCGATACGGTGGAATGTGAGGAAAAAAGAGAGTAGACAATTCAAACAAGATGCATTTTACTGAACTGTTCGTAAATGAACAGAGTCATATTTTGGATGTAATTGTGTATGAAATCATTTTGTTTGTTTTTGCTGCGGGCAAAATTGCGCATCTCTGCAATTTTCTCTCTCTCTCTCTCTCTCTCTCTCTCTCTCTCTCTCTCTCTGCATTTAATTAAAAACCTCTTCGATTTGACGCGCTCAAGACAGCCGGCGACGGCGCGATTTAATCAGAAAAGATTCACGAGATTTTTTTCGTCTCTTCTATCTCTTCTGTAAACAGTTCACATCGTATATAGTTCATTAATTTGCATTGAGTTCATTCATTATTCACCACTTGATGATTCGCACGATGATGCTACTGGGTTTGCTGACACACTTGTTAGTGAAGCGTGTGTGTGTAGGTAGGTATGTGTATGTCGCAGCAAAAATAGGATTAAAGGAATAAACATTGACAGGGAAATCAAGATGAATTTGCGCGCATATGAAATTCCCCACTTGAATGAATGTTGAAAATTGTCGCGTAGACGATAATTCCAAAGGAAAACATTTTCGAAACACTAATCTCTTCATCGTCTTACGTTTGTTCGCTCGTACGCTCTCCCTCTCCCATGCACTTTGAATTTGTTATAAATTTTTCAGTTCATTTGCTCGAACCACCTCCGTATAGGAGGCGAAGTCTTGTGCATGTTATTTTGTCAACGATCGCGGTGCATTCTTTTGCATGTTTGTTTATCTAATCGGAAGCCACAGCCACACACATATGCCATCCATCGCCATGTAACTCAGACCATATGTGTATGTGTGTGTGCGTCTTTGCATAAATCATTGACGGTGACGTCGTCATCTTATCTTTGTTTGTGTCTATATACCTACATTTTCCAATCCACACCGTCAGCGCGTTTCGTGCAATACCTGAACACACTTGAAGCAAAATGACAATGGCATTATCAACACCAGCAATAGCAACTACACTGAGACATCAACACAAGGAAGAATAATTTTTTTCAAGCTGCGCATAGATGCGCATTTGATGATGTCTCGCGCTTTAGTACATCGAGAGCGTTTAGCAACGAATGAGTCTTGACTGATTGCAAAGTCAAGGCGTTTAGACCTGTTTCGTTTCAAACGGTTTTTTTCTTCTCTAATTTCACATTTATCTAGTAAAACGATGGACCATTATTCAAATTTTTATAAGAGTGCCATTGAAAGTGGATGCGACACGCCAAAAAGGTGAAAATCTGTTCTTTTTTTTCCTTTTTATTTTCCATTCGTCTACTTTAAGTGATTGAGTGCGTGCAAACTTTTACAATTCCGACGAAAAAATGGGATTACCGAGAAAAGAGCACAAGATTATATGTTGTTGTTGTTGTTGTTGGCTGCTCGTTTTGCCGCTTTCGGTGATTTTATCTGCATGAAATATTGGTGTTAGACACGAAATACAAAGTGACGGTTCTATGCATTGGCTACGACGACTCTTAAGTGGATATCAAAGACAGTTTAACCTGGATTTTCGTTAGTCGCCAAATAGTTTTCGTATCGCTTTTTTAAGCTTGGTCTGAAAATAATCGGTCGTGAATTGATATTTCGGAATGCGCACGGTGACAGAACGAGCCAAACCTAGTCGCCGGATATGTATCGAGACAAGACGATATATTTCGAATTCATTTCAACGTATTTTTCCACGAAAAACACTCGAAACGAACAATATTCGATTCAATATATCGATTTGGATTTTTAAATTGGAATTTCAATGGCAAGAAGAAAAAATCACGAAAACACATTTTGTGTTGTGCTGTGTTCTTACTGATTTTTGTTTGTAGTTTATGCACTTGCAAGTGAATATCGATAAACCGTGAAGCGAGTCATTTCAAGCGTCAGAATGAATTCACCTGTGGGATGTGGTGATGCACTGAGCGTTGGCTGTGATCGACAGAAACAATTTTTTCTCTTTTGAAAACAATTGAAATTCGCCTTGAGAACGTTCTATCGAAGGTGACTTGGTAATGATAGAAATAATCGAATCTGTTGAATTTTTATCGATGTTTGTTTCTTCAAACAATGAAGTTTTTTTTTATGCAAGAAGAAGAAGTATTAAGGAATGATTGAAAAGATGATAAATTGAAAAATCTAGAAAATTGTTTTAAAATCTTTCATGAAAAAATGAATAAAAAAAACTGCAGAGACAAATCTGAAAGTTTGACACTAAAAAACTATATAAATCAAAGTGAAGTCAAAGTGTTGTATTCAAGTGAATGCGAGCTGATATAAAAATGTCCATAGAATATGGTGGAAAGAAATGGAAAATCCATGTTGGATGGTAACAATGGCACAAAGCAATGGATAAACCGATAATAAGCGGTTGCATATATCATAAAGAAGCGTTATTCTCTTCTGTTTTAACATTTCTTTTGCTTGATAGACAATTGTAGCGTTGGTTTTGAAATCTCGAAATAGTTGTATCGATTCCAATTGTGGCTTTGAGAACGGCATTGCGGCTACACTCCAAATATTTATATAATTTCAATCGAAGACGAAGCATTGAATGGGCACACACCGATAGCAGAGATCGGTTGAAGAAAAAACTGGCGAGCGGTTAAAAAAGGAAACTTGTCGCGAAAAAAACAACAACACAAACACACATACACGCATCGAGTGAATCCATACAGTAGAGTTGTGTTGAGCGAATTGTGTGATATATTTGCAGAAAAATGCACTTTGTGAATCACGCACCGTGTTTGTGATGGAAACGATATGAACCCATTTAACGAGTTCTTTTGAAGGAAGTGAGATCATTGAGTGCAAATATGTGGCCGTTGGCTGCTTATTGTAACGGACCTATTCCGTTCGCACGATTTCAATTTATTCTCGAGGCGCGCCCTAAAATTATCTAAATTAAAAAATCCAATCGAAAACCATTTTCAATGCAGTACAGTTTTTTTTTATCGATAATTTTGACTAAATTACTTTTTTTTCTGTTGCTTGCATTTTGCTATTTAGATCGTCTGGACAAACATGGTTACAGCTGCAACAACAGAAATTGCGTGCAAAAAAGGAATTGCAGCACCGAGGCGATAACGATTATTATGAGCGAAATACGAACACAGGCCGACCTCTACGGTAAGACAAATGAACGATAACAGTGGCGTTGACAGTTTTCGATCATATTTGGAAAAGCAATAATTTTTTTCTCTCAATGTATCCTTGAATAGGTCACGTTCAAGTCAGTCGTCGCATCGATACGATGGCTATTCGAGCGATACAGGCGCCTTTGATTCGAGAGCGTTCACCGATGAAGTTGACTATCGCCGGCCGTTGCATGTGCAAACGCCGAATCGACCGAATGAACGCTACCACACCATCACAAAAACCACAACGATGACAAATGAACGTCCTTTCGTTTCAGTGAAACGGGCTCACGAACAGTCCAAGGCAAACAATAACATCATCGGGGTAAGTGTTTTCATTCGCGAGAATCGCACGTTTTTTCAATCAATTTTAGGCGATTCGAGTGCAATTTACTGCATTCAATTTGAGTAAATTACGCTGGTAGTCGTAGTGTGTTCGAATGTCAACATGCTCTAGAAGTAGTTGCTGTAGATGAATTAGTTGTACTTTTTTTTTGGCTTGTTGTACTCATTTCGAAATTTCGCTTTCATTTTTGTTCGGCTAATTTCAAAACAACAACATCTTCTTCATTTTGCGCGTGTATTTATTCTTGATTTTGTTTTCTTTTTTTTATTATTCGATATAATTTCGTAATGTTAACATAGTCACCATCACCATTATCAATATTGAATGCATCACCGCACGGTCATATTGCACAAGCACAATCACCAAATCACAATCAAAACGGGCTTTTATCAGTAGCTGATAACAATGAATTATCCCCAGTGCGTAACGGACATGCTCGATTGGTACGTATTTTAACACATAGCCGATAATCTTCGTTTAACGGATATATCCCTCTCGCGTGTCTTGCAACACATACATACATACACACACACAATCAATAGACATAAGTTACTTGACAATTCATTGGATGTGAGCTGGCCTTCGTAAATGCAAATGCAAAAGCAATAACAATTGGCTTCAACTCAAACCATAATCTACACTTTGGCACTTATACAAATCGCATTTGCGTATGGCATCGAGACCAAAAACCCAACCAAATTGACCTCAAACCAAAATCTGTCACATTGTGTCGAAAACAAAAGCCATGTGACACTTTGAAAACATTAATTAAATGGACCGTAATTCCGGCCAAATCCGATGCCAACAACGCTTTGAAATGCTACTGTTTGGTTTTCTTGTATTGCACATCATTTGACTTAATCACATTTTAACCCGAATGTTTTTGGTTCTACACATTTCTAATTTTTCTTATGCCCCTAATCAACCAATAATTTTACTTAATTTAATTTCATGTTTGCACACAATTTTCTATTTTCTTTTTCTTTTCGTTTTTTTTTTTCTTCTTTATATTTGTTGTCATCATTCGCATTTGATTTACTCACAAACACACACACACACACACAAACATAACATCAAAACTAAACTAAATCAAAAAAAAAAAACAATCACAAACATCGGCATGATTGCGAATACAAACGGATTGAATGAATGAAATGGGTGAACGCGCGCGCACACACCGTCTACAGGAGTCCGACAGTAGTAATAGTTCACCGTTATCGTCATCAAATATGAGTAGTAGTAGCCCATCGGTGACGGCATCACCACCGCTTGATAACCGAACAATAGCCTGCGATAGCACCGATAAAGTGCAACAACCGAACAGTGGAACGACAACAAATGGACCGATGATGAGAAACTATCACACAAAAGCGCCAATTATTATCGAAGAAAATGGTAATGAAATCGATGATGACACAAGCTACATGGCACTGGATCAATTGCTGGCATCGCTGGCACTCGAAAACGATATAATGGAACGGCATTTGTCACAAATCAATAATAACGATACCAACGGCATCAAATTCAAGCATCAAAATCAAACAAACGGTGGTGTATTTTCGTTTGAAACGAATGCACGTGATCATTACATCAGCAGCAATGGCAACTATCCAAAGGCCAAAACAAATGGATTCGACGAGAATCTCAACGATGTTCTAGCTAATTTAATTGAATTCACCGAAAATGAATCGCAACCACCGCAACAACAGCATCAACAACACAATACCAATATTCATATGAATTCCTATGCAAATGGCCATCATTTGGTCAACGGAAGCAACAGCAACCACCACAACCATCATCCACATTTGCCGCATTTTAATCATTTGAATAACAATTTCAACAACAATAACAATCATATCAGTAGTAATTATGTAACGACAAATGGCAACGGCATCAATAACAATCATATCAATCGCGCTCACAATTACCATGAGCCCAGCAATAATGCTATCAAACGGCTCACATCCGAATCTGAAAATAGCTCATCCGTATCACCAAGTCTGTCTGAACGAAGCAATGGCATTGTTTCGTGGAGCGATCAGGTATGCTGCAATTCGGTTCATCCTTCTTTCTCTCTGTATCATTTTAGAACTTTTTTTTTTTGAGTTTATTCCTTTTTTATACCGAAATTTCAAAAGCAATTTTATCCATGGACCACCAACACCACCACACAAATAAAATTCAGCGTCCTCAAATGTGGCTTTGAACAATTTGTTATCCATTTATATATTCTTGCGCAGCCTTCTAAAATCCAATCCATTAGATTGCATTTAGTGTAAAAAGAAATCTGCTCAATCATCTAGAATATTGCAAATTTAAATGTTCGCTTGTTATCAACACAATCAATTACATTACCATTCAATCGACTCATTGCATGCATCCATGATTGTACTAATGTTTCGTTCAAATGCAAATATATTTCATGATCCTCCATTTACAACCAACATCAATGCTTTTATAATCTAAACTTATCTATTGTATTAAGGCAACTAATGACCTGGGAATGTGTATAAAATGAAACATTGTTTTACAAATGTAAAAAAAAAACTATTCAAACATTTGCACGAGATTCATTTCCGTTTTTATTTGTATGCGCGTGTTTGAACAGGTACGTGAAGAGTCATTTTCATCATATCGATCTGAAACCGAGCCGGAAACATCGTTGGCTGGATCACCACGGCCCGAAACACCAGCCTTCCCACTCACACCTCGCACACCGTACGGCTTGAATGGCAACAGTCCAGCTCTGCCTCCAAAGAGTCCTACTTCAATTCGGTGAGCATTCAATTGCTTTTTTAATCTAATCAACTTAGCATAAGACTTTTTTTTATTAGTGAAACGAGTGAGATTTCATCTAAATCAATGACCCGAATCTGTGAATAATTTTTTTTATAAAAATTTAACCATATTCCCTTCCTATTATCCTTGTGTTTTTTTTGTTTTTCTTCTAATCTGGATTTCTTCTAATTTTTTGAAAAAAAAAAAAAAACAAATAAAATTCAAAATCAGACGCTTAAATATGATACACAACAATGGTTCAACATGGTCACTACGAAGTGGTAGATCGACAGCAACCACATACGATTGGAGGTGCGAAAAACGATACAAATCGTAACACATAATTTTCTATATTGCATATACGCCGCACGTTGTTATATCACCTTTGATGATTTTCTGTCACCATAGTGTATTGTTTCGTTTTGAGTATGGCAAATGCACGAAATATTCATGGCCAACATGTAATGTGTAGCTCCTGTAAAAGCTGCCAAGAAATTTGAACATGCTCGCAAAACCAATCGAATTTGATTGAATTTCGTTGACGAGATGAATGAAATAAAATGAGCATGCAATCGAGATATGGCTTCACATTTATGTGAATCATGTGTAATTTTGTCTGATCGCACCTGTGTCCGTGTATTTTACTAACAATTGAGAAACATTATTTTACTAACCATAAACTGCAATCATCGTAAACTAGCTCGTAAAATTTGAATACTTTCTATCGTTCAAACATTTTACGTCCAAGAAAACGCATTAATTTCATTAAAGCCGGTCTTCAAATGCACGTCAAGTTAAAGTTTTGCAGCATCATTTAACAAATTCATTTTATGGAATAGATTTGCATAACGTCTAAATATAACACCGTTTCAAGCATCAAATATCAAATGACTAACAAATGTTGTATTTGAATGTATTGTTATTGGCTGTTAAATAATCATATCATTTATTAACAAACCAATCGTTAGAAAATATTGCATCTCTTATAATAATTTATCTCTTTGCTCTCTCTCTCTCTCTCTCTCTCTCTCTCTCTTCTTTTCGAAACGAACAGCAAAGAGTTTTATTCTGGAGGACAAACGCATCATATAAATCAAAATGACGTTTCGTGCTACACATCACGTCGCAACTCAACCACATCGACGGCAAACAGTGAACCGCAGGAAATTGCACCGCATTTGGTGAAGTAAGTAGCATGCATGTGGCTTCATCACTCGTCGTTATTATTATTATCGGTATCATTGTGTATTCTGAACCATTTTCAACAGGTTTGTGCGTGATTCGTCGAAATTCTGGTATAAGCCAACAATTTCTCGTGAAGAAGCGATTGCATTGTTGCGAAACGCTCTTCCAGGCAGCTTCTTAGTACGAGATTCAACAACGTAAGTAATTTGTGATTGTTGTTGTTTGTTGCTGTGACTGATGATTTCTAATATATATATATTTGTTGTCAAACAGATTTGCGAAGGCATTCGGTTTGGTGTTGAAAGTAGCACATCCACCGCCAGGCGTACAGTCAAAGGGAACGGGTGATGAGCTCGTGCGTCACTTTTTGGTGGAGCCAACGACACGTGGCGTTCGGTTGAAAGGTTGCTCCAATGAGCCCGTCTTTACATCACTGTCAGCCTTAGTCTATCAACATTCAATCACACCGCTCGCTTTACCATGTAAACTGATAATACCGGACCGTGATCTACAAAATGTTGAATACCATTCACCGGCACAACAACAGCTTATGACTCAAGGTGCCGCTTGCAATGTACTCTTTTTATTCACATGCGACACCGAGTCACTAACTGGGCCAGAGGCCATCCGAAAAGCTGTTTCACTGTTATACTCGCGTAAACCGTTGCCCAAACCGACCGAAGTTCACTTCAAAGTCACACAACAGGGAATCACATTGACTGATAACACACGTCAACTATTCTTCAGGTAAATTCACTTGGAATTTTACGTTTTGAGTCATCATATTTGGATGTGTATTAGGAAGATATTCAAACATTTCGATTTATTTCAACAGAAAACATTATCCGGCTAGTAATATTTCGTTCTGCGGCTTGGATCCAGACGATCGACGCTGGAGCATTCGAGTCACCGGTGAAGTTCCAGTTAGCAACAAGTGAGTTTCATTCAACAATGAAATTCTGTATATTTTGTGTGAAAGAAACTCTATTCATAACGAATTTTATCTTTGAATCAATAGGACCATCTTTGCATTCGTAGCACGTCGTTCAACCTCATCCAACGACAATCAATGCCATGTTTTCTGTGAACTGGAACAAAATCAACCAGCAGCCGCAATCACAGCATTTGCCAACAAAGTCATACCGAGCTACGGAGCTCAACCGTATCTACGGGATATTTGAGGCAGCCTCCCTCACCGGACACAGCGGCTCAAAGTCAATTTTATTGACTTGTAAATAGAAAATTCACGAATAAACACTTACCATAAACATAGGAACAACAACAAGAACATATGAGGGATTGCACATTTTTAACAAACGTAGAAAAAAATGGGACAATTAATCAGTTCAAATGGACAACATTTAAATACTTAACAAATGTAACCTCTAAAACCCACGCATACACATGACGCGCACAACACAAATTACTAATTTGCTCTTAAATTATCGCTCTTTCGACGGGGGCAGCCAATTGGTGAACATTAACTCTCGCACTTTCCACGAAACTAAACACTTCAGACATTTTGGATCGAAAATTGAAAAAAAGAGAAAGAGAGTAAAACGGAATCGTAGGAAACATATGAAAATGAGCAAAAGATACTGTTTTGGAAACAAAATTGCAGTCGATCGTATCTTTCGAATGATTGATAGAAAAATATCTCATTCCCTAATCTGGGTGGATTGAAGATCAGCGAGTTGCTTTACCAAACCATAATAGCCACCGTTTTGTCTGTGACAGAAGCGGATGGCATGTGTACGAAAAAAAAAATTGAATTTTTTGTGTTGTTTGCGTGTCACCAAACGAAAATTGCTTTGTAAAATTAAGCGTGTTTTTAACTGTTTGTATGTAATTTCGTGCGATGTTAAATTGTATACAAGCCGTTTGTGCGTGTGACGAATTGCGATCGATCGATATTTTTCTTCATCGATTTCATATGTTGGATTTCAGATGGTACGAACATTGGCCAATCATTTCTTTGACAATGAAATATCCTGGTCAACCAGAATGTACGAAGAAAAATGGAATAACATATTCAACAACAAAATAAAATGGAACATATTTGCAACTAGTCGATTTACAAATAAAAAAAAAACCTAAATCATCATTGGCACAAGCACATTCGCACATCAATTACAATTCTACACAATTATTAAAGAAAATCGTGACTAAATACACTTCACATCTGTTGGCGAATTATTATTGATGTTTTTAAATGTGAATATTAAATGGGCAACATCATAAAACAAACTATATCATCAATTGTCTTCTAGCAATGTAACGAACTATTAATAATAATTGATTAACCATGAATCAACACTTGAATGTATGTAAATTAGTACTGAACTCGGTTCTACTTAAATTCATTTCGTCTTAGTTGTATGCACAATTTTTTTCCTTCTCTTCTTCAGTTTGTGTATATTTCTTTCTTTCTTCGTTTTTTCTCTTCATTTTTGACTTATTTTTTTTTTTTAATTTATTGTAATACCAATCCCATTTCCTTTGGACCCCTTTTTTTTTGTTCGTAGAAATTTTTACGGTTAATTTTTAATTTTACATTTGTAAGAGCTTAAATAAATCCGAAAGATGTCAAACGGAAAATGAAAATCAAAATATGTACGACACGTGAAATCACGTTGAACGACTTAAAAATCTTTTACCGAACACATTTCTTTTTAGTTGCGAATAAATACAACAAAACAATAATAAAATTAATATTAATGAATTATATATTTGTATGAACATTATGTAAAGGAATAATGTAATTCAAGGGAAAATATCAAAATAAAAACTACTAAATTGAAAAAAAAAATGGCATTTTTATTTCTGGCGCAATTTAATATAAGGAGTGACTTGAATTTGATGTGATCTATGGATTTGGGTTTTGTTGTGCTTGTCAACGAACTAAATCATCAAAAATTCCTGCAACAGAATCAAAGAAATTGTAATTATCCACAATTTCGATCATTTTAAAGCTGTAGCGTTCATATTGGCCTTCAGATTCCTCACATTTATAGAACTGACGTGCTACCTACTGCACCAGTTTGGCTATGATTATTTGGGAAACGGTTCCTTCAACCGGCCGTTTCAGCTAAACATTTTAGAAAGTTCTATTTGAGAATTAGAAAGAAATGGGTCAAAAACCAAAATGGGCACGTACTTATTGCTATTAGTTCACGTAAGAACTGGATTTCGACGGGGCAGACATATCGCGCAATATGTGTATAATTGTTTTTCCATTATAACAAAGATTTCCAATTTCTTCAAAGCGCTTGTTGTACACAAAAAAGAACAAGTGAAAAAAAATCGCATCTTTAAATGTGCCAATTCTGGCATTTCTTTGTTCAACTCTATTTTCCACGCATTTTCATTGTTACATTATTGTTGTGACAAAAATAATGTAAATTATGATTTTACTGGGCTGAAAAATTATATTATAGAAAAAAATTGAGAATAATCCAGAAAACAATTTATTCTATTCAATCTTCAAAAAGTAAGCAACGAAAAAACAATCGATTTCGGTCAATCAGACGCGTTTTTGTGAGGTAAACAATAGAAATGCAAAGACTTTGCAACTGTTCATCGACATACCAAAATTGTTCGGTATTCTCTGCATAAATTCTAAATATTTGCCCACATTGTCATTATTAAAAAAGAGTCCAGCTAAAGACAATCACGTTTGTGTACATAACCGAGATGTGCCATTGACCCAAGAGTGTGGATTTGATATAAAAGAACGTTGTCGAATGGATATCATCATCATTCGATTTCGTTTTGCGATATAATCATTCATAATGCAACCAAAGTTATTATTCTTATTATTTGCGAGTTCGTTCGTGGTAAGTAGCTAGTTGAAAATGAGCTTAAAAATTGATTTTTCAAGAGTTAAAATGGTTCGCTTTTTCTATAGTTTTTGGCTGCTGATCCAATTCTTGAATTCGGCGATACTGAACTAGAATCAGGACCCAAAGCATTGGCTTTCTCTGAAGAGTTTGAACCAGTGGCATATGATTACGATAGCGGTTGCCATTGCGATTGTGGATATTCTTACGATTGCGATTGCGATTGTGGTTATAGACACGTACCGCAAACACATAGATGGAACAGTAAGGTTTTCCGAATTTACAAACTACTCTTTATTCTGGATCGGAATTAAAATTAAACGATTTTTCAACTTATAATCAGGTGGAAACCATAATAACAAGAGAGCGACTAGACGTAGTGAAAGCAGTAACTACAGGAACCAACATGGAAACAGTGGAAACAATAGACGTAATCATGGAAATGGGAATCGGAAACGACACAACGGTAACAATCAAATCGGACAACGTCAGAATCATTACCATAAACATTCAAATCAACGTCAAAAGCAACAGAATCAGCACAGAAATCAACGTCAAAAACAACAGAATCAGCACAGAAATCAACGTCAAAAGCAACAGAATCAGCACAGAAATCAACG